TCTGAGTACCCTCACTTGAATGAGAGTTTTCCTTGAGCCAAGAGGACTCTTTGCTTCTATTGATTCCAGTGGAAGGGTTGACAACTCTTATCTAACAGACCACTTAAATGGAAAGAAAATGGAATGACCAAGTCTTTTACTCTGAAACTGAAGTTTCTGCAAAACAGATACACGGGCAGATATGTGGACAGATGCCTTTCTCATCAGAATACATTGCCTGAACAGTTATTCCCAAGAGTTTGCTTTTGTCAACAGTCTTAATGTTCCTCCCTCAGAACAGATCAACTTGCAATCTTAATACTTCTCTTCTGGAGAGTTGTTTCCAATTTTTTTGTGGGTTAAACCAGCAGCCTCTGGCATGAGGGTTGCTGAAAAACCTCCTCAGAGCTCTCATACCAGGACCAAAATCTGGTTACAGGGTGGTGTGGAGACACTGTGGTTCTGCTTTCAGACAGAGATGATGTCAGTTTCATGCTATTGTTTGACAGATTTTCCCAGACCTAGCTGAAGAGCAATGTAAATTTTTCCTGTAGGTTTCATGCATTAAACTTTATGAAGATCTTCTTGCTCTGAGGAATAGCCCTTTTACAACAAACAAACCAAAAAACAGAAGGTGGCCAGACTTAAGGCTGGAAATGCCTTTTCCAGATTGAGCAGTCTTGAAATTTGTATGGGAAAAAAAAAAAAAACAAAAAAAAACACTAAAATAAGTACTTTAAAAATGTCCAATATTTATAAATTTTGATCACTAATACATGCCGCAATAGGATCTGTGGGTGTTAGATACATTTAAAAATCAGTATGGTCATGTAAATAGACAACTCTGTTTGAACACTTTTAAAAACAAAATAAGGTCTGTGTTTATCCCTTTGCATGCTTCTACCTACTCAGTGTAGTTTTTGAATAACTCTAATCTGTACTATTTAATTTTAAAATAGCATTCAGACAAATAATTTCTTTGTTGGCAGTTGAAGACCCAGCGCCACACCTGGGTGCCACACACCTACCCTACATGTTCCTTTAAAATTAAAGTATCTTTAAAATTAACATTTGATGTTTTGGATGGCTGTAAATAACATTTGTGTATGTAACAGCATAGAATAAATACTTAAAATCTCTAAATTAGTGAGTGATAGAATAGCATGCAGAGTATCTGCCAGGGTCTTGACTGATATGCAGGCTTCTACCTCCTATAGGCATACAACTGAGTCCTTAAATCACTTTTGTCTTTTCTTACCTTAAAAAGTAATCAGCAGCATCCAAAAGCCTTATTATGTTTTTGCTCACTGTATTTTGAATAGTTACTGGTTTTGAGAATTTAGCCCATTATCAATACTACAGCAACCTTTTTCTTTCTTGGTCATGTCAAATATTGTTGGCCTAGTTCAGAGTTTGGGAGACATCACTGCCACCCTGCTGACTTACCCAAGTTCAGTGGGACAGCTGTAATTTGCACATTTCAGCAGAGAAGCCTATTGAACCTTTTTTTTTTTTTTTCTTAATATGAAAGCTGAGAGAGTTCACTGGGTTAGAGAACAGACAGAAATCAAATCTTCAATGAGAACATTCCTAAACACACAAATTCATTATGAGGATTGAAACTGAATTTTACCAAAAATTTCAGCTATGTGAATTTGCTATAAATGATGATGGGTTTGCTGCAAATTTCTCATTGTGTGAGTTGGACATATTTGTATTTTAGTATTCAAGCCAAGTTACACAATCTAACAGGAAAGATATCATTAACATTAGGTTGATGCAAACTTTATCTCTCTTTTTATGCAATCCTGTCAACTGGGGTTTCATGAATGTGATTGAAAGAAAATTTTATGCTTTTTCCAATGATCTGAATTATTTTTATGGTAATGACTATTCCAGGTCACATTGTAATGACTTGATGACATGTGTTTCCTGGTTCTCATCCTGCAGGATATGATAGCTCTTCCTTAGATAAGAATTTTCAAATATTTATTTTGTAACATTATGCCATGGTAATTAAGACGGAGAGGAGGAAATTTTTGGCTCTTTGAGTGAAATAAATTGTTTTCTCTACAAGTTTTAGTTGAACTATTCCACTGTCCTGCCAAAACTTTGTCCTTATCATTGGTTTCTTCTCTTAATTCTGTTTTTGTTTATATAATGTAGGCATTGCTGTGCATAGATTTCAATTGCAAAGCTAGAGAAAAACAAATCCAATAACACCTTGGTTTAAAATATCATAAAGCTTATTTGTTAGAATTAAGCCCAGGAGAAACAGCATGCCTATCATGCTAATACACCATGGCACTCAGAGGTCATTTGAAAGAAGGTGAGGCTATTTTATGAAATTACAGATTATTTAAGGAAATGTCAACATCATGATTGAAGATACCACATCAACCATGGAAAAGAAATAAGCTTCACTACTGAGCAGAATGAAAACACAACTACTTCCTCGAGCTATCAATGTCTTTTGCAGTCTTTCACTGTTATTAACAGTGTCCTCTTCCCTTATTTTCTCCATAAATGTCACTGCCATTACCCATAGGCTGCAACGTTGTCCTGTAGCTGATGTATGCTCATATTGTACTAAAATACAATTTCAATGGTCCTTTCTAAGTTTCATTTCTTTTATACTATTTTCAGAATGGGTTTGTTTACTACTTCATATGTTTCTGTATTTTCTTAAAATGAACAGCATAAACCAGAAAATTTCCCCTTCCAAAGTGTTCTGGGGATCTATTTCTGTGTGCTTTGTTTGGCTGTACAAATTTGATGCCTTTTCAAGCTAGTGCTGGAAAATTATTATCAGGTTACCTTTAATTTTGGTTGATGCATTTCTGCCAGGCAGTAGTAGTAATCACTGTAATAGTTTTGTTTTTTGAACTTTCTTTACTGTTTTTATTTGTACTCTCAAAGGCAGCAGATGGCCAGAAGAGTTAAACACTTTACATTGCAGTGTTATCTATGAGTAAGGGCATGTTATTGTTTATCTTAGGCTTGATCATGAATTTTTTTGCAGGTTTTCTGCACTTAATACAAGCTTTTTCTGCAACAAAAGCAATTATAGGGGGTCAATTCAGGCTGCATGTTAAAATTAGTGCTAGAGATGGGACGAATGTACTATAAAATTCTGCTCACAAAGCTGCCTGTTTTTCTACAAGAGAAGCATGAAACATTACACTCTCAGGTCATCACCACAGAAAAAATATCTTTTCCTGAATTCTCTTGCTCTTTTGGCTCACACAACAGTAAATAGTGCACTGTATCTTTCTTTGATTTTCATATACAGAAAGGGTGGAGCATTTCTGCATGCTTTGCCATTCAGACATTCCCAGTGGTTCTATTTTCAACTCAAAATTTTTGAATTAGTAACAGATGTCCTGATTCTTTTGACTGAAAAGGGGTGAAATTTCCCCTGTATTTTAAAGAAACCTTTTTACACTTTTATTCATCATTGAATCCTGAGACCCTGAGTCTCTTGAACTGTAAACAGTATCTTACATCACAGTAATCTTGCTGCAGTCAATGGAACTTATTCTGATATACGCAGGATAAGGTACATCAGAATATATTTAGAATGACTTCAAAATGGAGCTTATGGACCAGTAAGGGGTAACATCCCAGTATTGCACATCTCAGCCTGCTTAGGCATGTTTTGCCTATTTCTTGCCTCAGCTTCACTGATGTAAATGAGTATAAGACTTGGTGATGCTGACCCTGAAAACAATGTATTTCATGCATATGAAATGAGAAAAATGTGTTAAACAAAGCAGAAGAAACTGCAGAAACCTGGAGTAGGAGAAAAACCTTACACCAAAATTACAAATCAGGTAGCCTGGAAAAGAACTGGTATATGTGCATATGTTATTTGTAATGCTGTTCCATTGGCATAAAACATAGAGAAAACTCTTGCACTGCAGAAATCCTAGGGAATATAGCTCTTGTTCAAAATGGATTTGGGGGTCTTGATTGCTCAGAGGCAGAAAGGCAAACGTGTGGGTAGGACAAAATAAAGACTCAAGAGGGGGACAATCAAAAGAGAATCAAATTCCAATTTAAGGAATATAATTTTTCAGGTTTAAGTTGTACCTGGAGGTTGAATTAAAAGTGGAGCTATTTTGCATTCTTCACAAAGTTTGAGTGTTAGAGTCCTTCTCCTTTCTGCTCCTGAACTATCTTTATTCCTGTAGTTTATTTAAGTGCAAGTCTCATACATTCTTCTTGCTTATTTATTGACATGTATGTACTGGTGATAACACAGATGCTGGCATAAGCTCTCATTCTCCTTAAGCCTTTGAATGTTTTTGTTAATAATAATACAGATACAATGTATCTTACTTTGATATATAGATCATCCAGCAGTAAGAACTGAAAATAATACAGACTGTAATATTTTTCTATAGTGATTTTAAAAGATTGGAAGGCCAAATAAGTCTTGACATTCTGGTGCACAAAAGGAAACAAGCACCATGCTGTAAATGTAAAAAGGCACCAACCAGTTGTGCATGTCAAATTCTTGCTTTACCTAAAAGGGTATGGAAAAGTATTTGTTAATGCATTATTAAAGAAGCCTGATTTTTTTTCTTCCAAGAATATTGGAAATATTTGAGGTATACTTAGGGCCCAATGTGAAACAGATGGAAGAAATACAGAGGCAAACTCCATTGTGCTGTTGTGAAAATACCCCTGGCTCATGCTTAAGAATATTTCTCATATTTTAAATTTTCGAAGTTCAGTTTTACTTATGGACATTTAAAATTATCTTGAGGAATTACATACCTCAAGCACTGAGACTTGAGAGAAGTGATGTGAAATATAAGTAATTTTTCAGAGAATAAAAATCTTTTGTCAAAAATGCTTTCCAATCAGTTGAAAACCAAACTTAGTCTTCTCTTTGCTTTAAGACCCCTGGGCTGACTTGCTGCATTTATCTAAAAAGGATTTAAATAAGTGCAAAATCTCTATCTTTTGATGACTCTGAAGAAATTCTCCTTTTTTTTTTTTTTGCCTTGGGGCAGGAGGAAAGATGTCACTTGGATGTCAGGAAGCTTTTGAACTTTTCAAGCAGGACCATGCTGATAGTATAACAATTGAGGACAACAAACAGCTTCTGAAGCAGAGGTGGGTGTCATAGAAAAATACAGCTGGGGGAAGATATCTGAGAGTTCATTAGCAGTCTGGGCAGGAGCACATAATTTTACTCCAGACATCCCAGGCTTCCATTGAGGACTCGTTACAGGCCCTTCACATTTTGTTACTTAAGACATTCCATGTTCAGAAGGCACTGAGTGGTGATAGAAGTGAAATCTGGATAGAAATTAAAATAGCATGAGGAATCTTAGTGCATATTTCCACTGGTTTTATTCATCTTCACAGCCATGTTGAAGCAACGTGGCAATGATATTCATGATCAAGAATTATCTAGGGGAAGTAAAATCCATGGGACTGAATCAATTACTGCAATTTCCATTGTCAAAAATGCTTTACTGACTTCAGCACTGAATGGGATAGTAAGCTAGATGTTTAACATATGCATGTCTGGTGTCCCTAACCTGTTTGCCAAGTGATTTTATCTTCTTTCTGCCAGTTTTGCATTCACAAACAGATATAATACTTTCATCCTCTACATTTGTTTTTAATGTTGGCAAAACACTCCATATGTCTGGTGAAAATAGTGATAATGGCAAAACATTGAAAACATGGATTTTCATACAAATTTTAAACCTCACAAATTAAACCACCATCACTTGTCTATGTTGGTTGGATAATAGTACTGCTTCACTGTCAGCTTTTCAAGTGTTAACCCTCCTAGTACTGCAAAAGAAATGCACAGTTTTGAGATTGCAGATGCCAAAAGTGAATTTCTCAATCTATATTTGTAACTAACATTTCCCCTAAGAGTTGCTTGGGGGTATTTTCTTTGTTTTCTTCTGTTTGGTTCAGGAAGGTGTTTGTTTGATTGTGGGATGTTGTGGTTTGGTTTGGGTTTTGTTGAGGTTTTTTTTGTCCTGAGGTTTTCTCCTTCTACAGGTTTCTTCTTCTTTCTTCTGTTTAACAATTTTCTGTTTCACAGGCATGGAAGACATTTTTTTCAGGCACGCCAAGTCTTATACTCATTTATTTCAGAAAAATTGAGGCAAGAAATTATCTCCACATCTTTGTGACTTACTCAAGTTCTTGCTATTTATCACTTTTCTCAACTCAGTAACTTTTTACCTGCAATGCCTTTCTTCTGATCAATTTATCAGATCATGCCACAGCACTGCCTCATCACTGTATAAATTATTACACTGCAGTCATTTCTGGTGTTGCTATTCAATAGAACACTTAATAGTTAACAGCATGATAATGAGAGTAGTACAGTTCTGAGCCATGCTCTGCCCTTCCCCTAGCTAATCACAATCCTTCCATATTTTTTCTGTATGTTATTACTATGAAGCAAACCAGTATTTCCTTCTGGTTTCAGAATATATAATAGAGATTAGCAGAATCTAGTTCAATGACAGATTTGCTTTCCTTAAAGGACAAATATTCATACTAATGCCTTGTGTAACCCCTCTCTAATAGGCATCAGCTGATTGCTGAAATCAGTGCTAATGTGAATTTTGGTGCTTTAAAACAGGCAGTTTCCCCTGCCATTTGCAGTCATTTTTAGCAAAGATGCTTGCCTCCAAGTTTACTGAGTTTATTAGAATGGATGTGTATCAAATCCAGTCTGTAATTTGGAATGCAGCCTCTCAACTACTAGTTACACAAAAGCTCTGTTACCCAGCCAGTGTTCAAATTGCACAGGAAGAGGAGTGCGGACACCACATGTTTAAAGGTTACCATAGTTTCCCTTTATATGTAGACTTCTCTTGTTAATAATTTTGTTTATAGTTGCATAACCACTTCTGTCATACCACAAACAGTGTTTGGTTCAGAAATTACTTATTTTTAGCTCTCTTATTTTTTCTTTTGGGTATTTTGGGTAGATTTTCTTGGTTTGCTAATTATCATAGAGTCAGAGAATAGGCTGAGTTGGAAGGAATCTTTACCAGTCATCTAGTCAAACCCTGCTGCAATAAGCAGGGATATCTTCAACTAGATCAGGTTGCTCAGATCAAAGTCAAGATTGACTTTGAATGTTTCCAGGGATGGGATATCCACCACTTCTCTGGGCAATCTGTACCAGTGTTTTAGCACTCTCATTGTAAAAGATTTCTCTCTGAGACCTAGTCTAAATCTACCCTAAAGCACTACACCTTGTCCTGTCACAACAGCCCCTGCTAAAACATTTGTTCCCATCTTTCTTATAATCTCCCTTTAAATATTGAAATGCTGTAGTAAGGTCATCCTGGAGCCTTCTCTTCTCCAGGCTGAATAATTCCAGCTCTCTCAGTCTGTCTTCCTGAGAGAGGTGTTCCAGCCCTCTAATGATTTTCAGGGCCCTGCTCTGGACCCACTTCAATAGGTCTATGTCTGTCCTGTGCTCCAGAACTGGATACAGTGGTGTTGAATACATTGAGTGCTGGTAGCTTGGTGTGCAGCTGCACTTCGAGCTCTGGTTGGCAGGAGCACAGGCAAGAGGCCTTGAACTGGCACTGACACTTCACATAACAAAGGACACAGGGACCTGGTGGTTCCAGCCACTTGGATACACACTTAGAGACACAGTAGGTGCCCATACCTCAGGATGAAGGACAGAGACTTTCATGCTTCTAGATGGTGAGGGTATAAAAATCCAGGGTTTTCTTTGTTCAGGGTCCCTCCTGAGAGGCACTAGCTTAAGCTATTATCCTGCTGTTGCATCATGATTAAATTATTTTAAGGACTCAAACATCTGAGTCTCTGCTATGGGAAACTTGGGGTTGAGCGAGTAAGGAAACATTGTCTAACTATGCGTGGTAAGTGCAGGGAGTAAAGCAGTTCACTTGTTGGCTCACTCACTGCAAAGGGGCTTTATTCCTAGCTCAGGTGATGAGAGTGTAACTCATTTTGGCTAAGGACAGGGTTAATTTTCTGTAGTAGCCCTGAGGGGGTGGGGCCTGGAGCCATGCGGGTGTAACCAAGACCCTATTGTTATTCAATGCCATGCTATGTCATGGCCAGGGCAGAAGAAAAGGATAACCTAACCCTAACCCTCTCTCATTTCAGAAAAGAGCATTCCTTTTCCCTTGGCAGAAGTGTAGCAGATAGAGTGGTGGGGTAACACTGGTCCCAACTGATGGGGGCATTTTGGGTGCAATGGCTGTGGTTGGGTCAAGCTCCAAACTTTCTCTTTTGCACACTTTTGTTATGAATATTGTTGCTGTTATTATTGATTTTCTTCTTTCATTGCTGTTTCCAGTAAATTGTTCTTATCTCAAATGATAACCTTTGCCTTTCTTGCTTCCAATTGGACAGGGATCAAGTCAAAGTGTGTTTTTTGTAGTGGGACTCCTAGATCAGAAAATGCCCTTCGTAAACCATTCTGGCCCAATCCCTATACAGGCAGCATCACTAAACTCTTCCTAGGTTATCCATCTGTGCTTCTACTGCCTGTGCATTTCCTGCTTGCACTTTAGATTGATTTGCAGATCTCAGTTCAGTCATGCTGGTGTATTGCCTTCCTTGCTTGATTTCTTGCTCCTGGGGTTTTGAGTTTTTGCATTTCATGGGAAAACATTCTAAAAGACCTAGTAGCTTTGTTCTATACCTTTGTCCCTGAAGGCAGTTTTCCATGGGATCTTATTGACTAACTCCTTGAAGAGCTGGAAGTTTGCTTTTCTAAAACTTGGGAGCCTAACTTTACTCTTCCCCTGACCCATATCCCTCTGAACTGTGAACTCCACCAATGCATGACCACAGCAGCCCAGTCTGCCTCCAATCTTGATGTCTCCAATTAGCTCATTACTTTGGTGACCAATAGGCCCAGTATCGTGTCCCTCTGGTAAGGCTATTACCTTGCTTAAGAAGTTATCCTCCTTGCAGTCCAGGAGTCTCTTTGATTGCCTACTACTTGCCATGCTACTTTTTCAAGCAAATGCTGACTTGTTTGAAGTCTTCCAGGGAGATAAAAGCCAGTAAGCACGTCTCCATCAGCTGGAGCATGAAGGCCTCATAAATAGGCTCTCCTTGATCAGGCATCCTCTAGTAGATGCCTACCACTCAGTCCCCTTTGCTGCCTCATTCTCTGATTCCTACCCATCAGCTATCAGCCTGCTCAAATAACAATTGTTAAGAGACAGCTCTTCACACTCTGTCTGCCTATTGGTTTAGAGAGCACCCTTTCTCTTCACTTGTCTCTTCAGACAATCTGTAGCCACTGGTAGGCAAACGGAAGTTATGGGATTTGCCCTACCAAGTTTCAGTAATGGCAACTAGATCATAGTTTTCTACCAGTGTGGTGACTTCCAGCTTCTTCTGTCTGTTGCCCACGCAGCATGCATTAGTGTAAAGGCACCTTAGTGGCCACTCCATCTTCTTAGAAGAGCACACCTTAGCTCCTTTGAAGTATTTCCTCGGTGTTCTCCTGTTGGCTCCTACGGCCTCAGGGAGCCCCTGGCACATCTCAGTAAGACATCAAGTGTGCATTGTATCATTCTTATAGTAATTGAATGGTGAACTGTCTGTGAGCCTGGGAAGCTTCACTGTGAAGGTCACAACTGTTGCCTGGGCTGTGAAATTATTCATATAGATGTGATTACACATAGCCATACCTATAAAATATATATGTACTTTTTCTGTAACTACTGGTGTAAAAATGATCAAAGGCAGTCAACTAATTAAATACTGAAAAGCATGTGTTATGTTAAATATATATATAAAAGAAAACAATTTGTTTTTGAATAAAGCTTTTCACCTAATATGTCATAGATCTTCACAGGTGCAGTAGCTTATACTGTAACCCAGTAATGTCTCTAAATTTAAAAGTGGAAAAACTTATATAGTCAAAGATAATTCAAGTGAAACAAAATTGATTCAATTTGCCTTCAATTCAAGTTGCCTACAGGAAGAGTCTTTGTAAGACAGAAAATGTGATCTTCTACAGCTTTACAGCAGTTCTTTTTCATTTTTCATCCATACATTAATAACTGCTTCCCTGCTTAAAAGAAACCACCCTGTGTTGATACCAAGAAGAATCAGATTTCTGCAATTTGAACTTTCTATACCTGACTTCCAGAGAACTTAATAATATCCTTAAAAATATCCTATTTCTTAATGTGATCATGTTCTCTTAGGATTGTTTCTCTGAAGAGGAGAAAAATGCATCCCATTTTCTGGTGAAATATGCTACCAGGCAATCTTTACAGTTGTGCCGCTCCAATGTAATGCATGCTACGCAAAGCTTCTAAATCCCATCTTAGACAATATTTGCAGTAGTAAAATTCTACTGAGCTTACAGATGTGATGTAAATCTTGTTTCCTTTTTGTTGTTCTCCATTTTTTTTTTTTGTTTCCATTTTCTTCTTTCCTTGCTTTCTGTTTTTTAGCTGGTTAACAGTTAACTTTTTTTTTCAGTACCTATGGGCAAGTTTCATGGAAAGGATGAGTTTATCTTGGGTCACTTGTTGTTGTAATTTCTAATAATTAAAAACAAGTGAATACTCATTTAATTCACTGAATGTCTCTCTCATTAGACAGCCTCTGAGTTTGTCTTAGTTTACATAATGAGTTAGAGATTTGTTTTCCAATATGTTTGTATTTTCATTACTGACATTTGCATTCAAAGAGTGAAATCTTTGCCAAAAACACTTTTTCCACTGAAATTAGTGGCTAAATTCGCTATGGGGTTTCATCATGGAGTGTTTATCTTGTAGGTAATAGAAGCCATGATTTGGCAATTTCAGCCTTTTCTCTTGAGTGGTTTCCATGTAAGATATACATGAAGATTTTTCAGCTAACAATATAATTGTTTAGTCATCACTATGCATAACATCTTAATGCTAGACAATGTCACCCTTTTTTTATTAAAGAAGTATTGAAAATAGCTTTGTCCCATTCAATATTAGAATCAAGTCTTGTGTATTTACCTGATTTATTTTGTTTGGTTAGGATTGATAGTCACAGATGGAATCTGTTGAAATGTCATAAATTCATGCCAAGTTTCAGTTTATGTTATTGTGCTGGTTTATAAACTACGGTGTTTGAACAACAGATGCACAACCTATTCAACTATTGGCAGTAACTTATGAATAAAGGCTGGATAAATATCTGGCTTCAACTTTTGCAGATAAATCACCCTGTGAGCATGAATCAAAGTCAACAGCCAACATGAGATTTGTTTCAGGAATTAATAAGTAATTGATTAACTTAGTATGGGACCTGAGGGAAAGAAGGAGAGAGATACTTCAGACCTTCTTTCCTTTGATATTTATGTAATCCTTAATGCCTGCTTGGGGCTCTAAGTTAACCCCAAGCAGTAACTTGAAATACTAACTTGTTCCAGTCTTATGAAGAAATGAACTAATTGAGAAGGGGAAATTTTTCACATTCCACTTTTGTAGGGAGAAGCCATATTTGTTCTGTTTTGATATTTTTTGAGTTAGAGAAAAGTACAATTTGTGGATTTCTTCAGTTTCTTTGTCTAGATCAAGACTCTTCTAGGTAGTTTCTCTTAGACCAGACAATCTCTCCTAATGGAAAATTGTTTTTAATTAGTTCTACTTACAAATGAAAAACTAATACTGAGTAATTTTGTATTTTATTATGATAAGCTTCTGGAACTATTTGTTATTTAGAATAATTCTGTATCATTATGCTTGCATTGACAGGTTTGATGAAGCTAAATGCCTTGGAGAGAAATTAAATGAAGTGAGAAATAAAATAAGTGAGTACGTTTTTAACTTCATTTTACCTTTAGCTGATGAAATCACAGAATTCAAATGTATGGGAGGAGATTCAAATTTCTAAAAGAAAAATGTCAATTCATTGCTGAGACTTCCAATGAGGTAAACTGTAAGCTGATGATAGCAGTAATAATTTTATGTGCAAGTTTTGATTATTTCAAATACCATAATGCAAAAACCAGCTTCCTTCTTTATTTGACAGGATGTCTGAAATTTATCAAAAAAGAGAAGTTAAGGTATTAACATGGGATTTTTAATTTTATTTTGGAATAAAAGGATCCAAAACCTTAATTTGAAAAATCATATCTATGGATTAAGGATTGTATTTATCCATAAATTTGTATGACTTCCAATAAAAGATGACTGCTCTGCACTTTGTATAATTAATTAGAGCTATTTTGAAGAGTGCTTCAGTTTGATGGGGAATTTCATCTTTTTTTCATCTAAGGCCCCAACAGTATATGACTGGTGTACAATTTCAGATTGTTCAATGTCAAAAATCACCCATAGATATATTCAGCCCCAAGGCAGGTCTGATTTGATCCTCTTAGCAGCCTTTGATATGTTCCTAGATGATTTTGGAATTTTGTTGATTCCAAATCACTCCAATTGACTCCAGTCCTGCAGGCTGTCCAGGATTTGTCAGATGTTAAACAGTTTTTTTTCTGTCCCTGAAGTTCTTGGAGATCTGGTCCATGGTCTCCATTTTGCACACATTCAGGTGAGCCATGTCTCTTTAACCTTTCAGATGTAGACTGTGAGGGACCAGACTGAAAGGTAATCTGGCATCCAGGGCAAGTGGTGTAGATCTTGCTCTTATTTTCTATCTCCTCCTTCTTTGGATGGCACCAAAATAGACATGGACAATGAAGTCATTCTCATCACTTTATGTTTTAGAATAGCAGTTGACTTTTGGGAAAGGACAAATATCTCACAACACAGCTGCCAAGTGCTCTGTACTTACACCATAGCCATGATTATATTCTCTGTGGTCATAAATGATAATTATTGCCAGATTCCCCTCCCAGTCACCTTTGGGTTCACCACAAGTCCCTCAGAGATATTATACAGTATATTTAAATTATGTCAGGTATGCGGAAAGCCTCAGCCACGTTGGCAAAATGTTTTCAAACCACAGCACAACTGATGTTTGGAATAGATCCAGAAGCAGAAACATCAGGTGCTGAGCCCTCCTGCAGGATTTTTCTGAACACTTGGTTATTTCTGTAAGACATGACACTAGAATTCACCTGTCTTCTTTCAGTAAGTTAATTTGCCTCTGTCAGGCTGGCCAGAACATAAATGTCAGTACAGAACTTCTGCATGGATATTCATAGGTTGACCCATGCAAGAAGAATTTCAGTATTTACCTCGCGACTATGGGTTTCTGCAGTGTTCATATAAACTCACTTAACTCGTGCCAAGTAGACTTTTTACTGTGGCAAACCTGGAAAAGCAAGTTAAACATACTGTGGAGGACTCTTTTTCCTCTGCTACCATCTTGAAGTCCACGTTGTCCTGCATTCCTTCTCTCTCTTAGATTTACTCATCTATGTTATACCCAAGAAATTCCTTAGCCTAAACAAGGTGTAGCCAAAAGTCAGCCCTGACTGCCAAGCTTCTTTCTCTTATGGAAGCTGAAATTAATTTTAGAGCAGGAACAGTGAACACCAGCAATAAGCAGCTACACACAAGCACATCTTTCTCAGTATCTGGGGTTGCAACTGTGCTGCTGGAAGACAGGAGCCTAGCAGCCACCCTAAATGCATCTTTTACCTGAGGGAGAACAAATATTTGGAGGGCATGGGAGACAGTAAAAGATGCAGTGGGACACAGGCCAGTCCTGAAGGTATCACTTGCAGTGTCATGCTAGGACAAGACTTGTGTGATTTCTCAGTCTGTTAAGATTTTAATCTCTCAGAAATAATGTAACAGTACAATGTAGACGTCATCTCTCAAGACTCTGTTTCCATGAATTGCTACAAAATCTAGAAGAAACCCTTGGTTTGGACTGAATTGCTGTGTGTTTTTCCTCAGTAAGTTGGGCAAAACTTCTGATAGCTATAGTGCAGTAGAGTATGGATTTAGCTGCAATTAAAAACATCTGTTTAAAACTTGCTTTTGGTTAAGTTCTTCAGTGTTAACATTGAAACAGTAAAGTATATCTGGGAAACATGAGTGATACAACAACAGTATATGTAAACTAAAAAACCAAACTGATGCCTTGAACAAAGTAAGCAGCCATGTAACAAATCAGTCGTGCTGCACTGATCTTGACAATGCCTACATGCCTCCTGTAGGAAATTGTAATAAGTTGTAGACCACATGAATGCTGAAAATGTCCTTTAAGAGTCAAGCTAGAAATGTCTCCTAAGAAAAATTGCACAAATCACATTTTGGTCTTGTTTTGGTATATAAGCTACAAGTGAAGTGTTTTCAAATTAAAAAAAAAAAAAAATTCCTTATTCTCTTTTTATTTTGGTAGCAAAATGGGAAAATAGTATTTTCATTCAGTTTTTACTCTAGTTCTATAGTATAAGCAAGAAATTCTATTCATGTTGTATCCATTTATAGGTATCTGTATCCTGATAGGTGCAGATTATGCAGATGTAACCTATTTGTGGATGGTTTTTATGCACTGAGGTCTGAGGCTTAAAAGTGATCATACCGTAAATTCTTCAATTCTTTCTGTATAACACTCTGCAGCATGTGAAAATTAGTACTCTGGCTAATACAAATATTAGATTTTATTCATCTGTCCTTCCATCCTATCCAGCTTTGTTTAGAACATATTTGTTAATGTATCTACCTGTAAGCACCTCCTAAGAAGTATTCAAATTTTGTATCCAGTTCAGCTTAGTCAATTCAATTGCACTACCTTATACAGTTTAACAGCCTAAAACATTTTTTTTCAATTAAGTCTGTTTCATCATAGAAGTCATACTCAAAGGATCATTAAAGATGCTAAGTAAGTTTACTAAGCTGCCAAATTTTTACTTAAAATGTGGTATGAGAAATAAGAGTCATCTGTGGCCTGCAACTAGATCTTTAATTTACTTTTATTGTAGTTTTGGTTTCCTTAAGCATTCCTAGCTGCCTTGTTGTGCACAATCAAGAATAGATCTCATCAATATCAGTTTCCATTATTTCTAAGTTACTCTTAATAGTATAAAGCTATGCACCACAGAGGTCATAATAATCCATTTCATGCAGTCCGATTATATTTTGAGATAGTGACAGCAGCATCTGCCTGTAACTTTTATATCATAAATATCCTTTCATTCTGACTTTGGAAATGTTAGTGTTTTGCAGTGAAAAGTACACACAATACTCCAACCCCTTCTCAATTACACTAGCATTTAAAAAACATCAGGAAATTAGGGCTGTAAAAAGAAATTTGTGGTAGGATTTTCTTGGTAGGCTTTTGTAGATGTTATTGCTTGCACAAAAAGATTAAGGAAAATGATGTCTAGATGTAAGGTGGATTTCAAGTGTGGAATAACTATAATATCAGAAATGAGACATCGTGACCAGCATGGCTCTTTGCTACTATACCACTTAGTCCTGGATTATGTCTCCTTTTATGTCTAATAGCAGTACAGGGATTTTTAAAAATTTTTTTATGAAAAATAATACATCTTAGATTTGTCATTATGCTTACTTTTCACAATGACTTTCTAGAAGTAAGAGGATGAATTTTATTGAGGATGAAAATTATCTTTTTCTGATACTTGTGGGGAAAAATAGAAAGAGGGAAGTGTTCCTAAGTCAGGGTCATTTTAGTGACACTGTTTGCTGCATTATGACACTAAACTCTGTATAGGCACAAATAAAGGAGCCAAGGGGTTTGGTGCAAGCACTGAGAGGCAATTCTTTTTGCAAGTTATTGCATAAATATTCCATTAAAAAAGCAGAGAAATGGTATAGATTTTGAACATGTAGACATGCCTGGATTTGTTTGAGTGAACGGTTCAGAATTGTTTACATATGGCTGGAGAATGTACCCAATGACTGGGTTTTAAAAGACAAATACAAAAAACCAACATGAGTGAAACTGGAAAAAAATAACTGAGAGGTCAGGAAATAATGAGAACTCTGTAACCAGCGTAGGAGAACTGGAAAGTGGGCCAGCTTGTACTGACACAAAGTACATTTTTGCCTTTCTACTCCAACATTAAGAACTTTCAAAGTGTATACTTTGCTAGCTAGAAAAATAAATAAAAAGGTTTCTTTTCTTGGGAAAAAAGTGCTGTGTGACTGCATGTGTTTTTGTATTGTGTTATTTTCAGAGTTAGGGTCCCTAACAAGAACAATACCCTTTTGGTATTACTGAAGAAGACAGTGAAGGAAATTTGATGCTGAAGCCTAAGATTTTATTTCAGAATAGTGAAGAAAATTTCTCATTGCAAAAATTTGAGTGATTGTGCCTAGCACAGTGTTGTGAGTCAACCTAGGCTGACTATCCAGCAGCTTCCTCACATCCCCTCCTCAAAAGAATGGGGGGGAGAAGTAGAAAGAAAAACATGTGGGTTGAGATAAAGATGAGGACATGGCTTAACAACTACCAAGTGAAACAGATTGAAGTCAGAGAAAATTAATTTATTGTCAATTAAAATAGAGCTGCATGGTGAGAAGTAAAGACAAAACTGCTGAAATAAAACCTTCTCCCCTTATCAGGGCTAGCAGGAGGGTTTTGTTGTTTTTTTTTCCAGGATGCTGCTATCAACAAGGTGGTTTTATACTATTACTGCAAATATTCTGTGTCAAAGTACTCTGACAGTAAGGACTACTCTACATCTGAACAAAATGTAAAGCATTAAATAAGAAAAAAGACCCATCTGCTACTACATTAATCAAAGTGTGAGCTGGGAACTACAACTTCTATTTCAGTGTAAATTAAACTGATACATTCATTCAGAATTTCACCACCAAAGAAAGTTTCCTATGTGCAAGAATGTGCTGTGTATTAGAAGCCTTTAAG